GCTGGCAACCAACTGTGTACACGCTGAACCTGTGCATGCTTGAGTTCTATGTAGAAAACACATACAAGAGAGTGACTGTGGGCACTTGTGCATATTTGTGCTGTAAAACCAAAGAAGGGTTAAAGTGTAGCCCGACATCTCGTTAGATGAACAGGCTGTGTCCATTTGTTGCAGCTGTGGCTTATAATAACACATGTACCTTTAAAAGCCATTGTCTAGCGGCTGCACTGGCTTCCCATACAAGTGTGTGTTATTCTCAGCTGTAGCCAGTTTATTATGAAAGAGCCTGCATGCACCAGGTCATGTCACTGTCCCAGTGTCTTCTGCAGGTCTGACATTAAGGCAGTGGGACTTGCTGGTCTTAATTTTGACTGTTATTTAAAGTTGTCAGCCGAAACCCCAATGAGTGTCCCGTAAAACAAAAAGTTTTTTCCTTCTCTGCATTTAGGAAATTGACGCACTAGATGGAATCGACTCTCCGGGCCCATCTGGTGAAACTTCCGAAGCCTTGTGTAAACAAACTGCAGATGACACCTCCCAGGGGTACGCCCGACAAGATGTGGGGCTGAACCAAGCTGTGGAATCAACCAGCGATGTGACATCAACACCTAGCGGATTTGTGGATGGCGAACACATAGTGGCTGATTCAACAAATGGTGAAGCAGGTATGTTGCTTCTTTCTGTGTTACATCACATGTGGTTAAAGAGTGAAAGTATGAAGTAATGATGCTGTCGCAACATGAACTAGATTAGTGAACACGACATCTGCTAGATCTGTGGACACATGTCTGAACTTCAACTAGATTAGTGGACACGACATCTGCTAGATTTGTGGACACATCTGAACTTCAACTAGATTAGGGGACATGACATCTGCTAGATCTGTGGACACATGTCTGAACTTCAACTAGATCAGGGGACACGATATCTGCTAGATTTGTGGACACGTCTGAACTTCAACTAGATTAGTGAACAAAAATCTTAATATCCACCAAGTTAGCCAGACAGATCAAGCTGATTCGTGAGTGTGTTGCATCGTCTTGATTGCCTTGGAGTAATCTAACCTTTTACACAAACATCCTAAATTCCTTGTTTTTAACATAGATGTTTTCCTTTTTGTAATAAGTTGAAATGAACGAGTGGCAGGAGTTGTTGGATGAAGCAACAAACTGCGTTTACTACTGGAACACTGTCACCAGTGAAGTCACATGGGAAATGCCCGAAGTCCTCCGGCGAGCCAATCAGCAGCTAGCTGGGCAGTCCTATGACCACCAAGCGACCACTGGTGTAGCTGATTATGTGGCAGCCAGTGCCGCTGAGGCACCTGGAGATGCTGCTGTTGCCGTGCAACAAGACAACGAAGAAGAGGAGGAAGATAGTGGGGAGGAATTCCCACAGAGCAACTCACAGGAGGAGGGCATGGAAAAGACAAAGATGCCAGTGTACGGCTCGGGAACAGTTGAGTACGACATCTCGCCGGAACCTGAAATCGAGGTGGAGGGGTTTGAATTACAGAAGCCCGAGGTAAAGAAACTGGCTTACTCCATGTTTGTGAAGGGTGACACCCTGCCAGGAACAGAGAATGGTGCAGAGGTTGGATCAGATGACAGCAATGCTGCCATTGGTCAGATTAAACCTGCGCCTGTGGAGGAGGTAGAAGAATCAACCAATGGGGAGGGAGCTATTGACAGCCTAGATGAGGACATGGACATCGATGAGCAGTTGGAAATGGCCCTGGAGAGACGGAAGGTTAGTGCTTTCCTCCGAAGAACTCCGAAGATTCGTGGACGTGTGGATATTAAAATAACTATCTCCCTTAGTGGGCAGAAAACAAAGTTGGAACTATGGCTGGAGTCAAATAATGAAGTAAAGACTCTTTGCCCAAAAACATCAATGTCTTTATCTTCTGTAGCACGCGAAACTTCTCTCTCAGAGATAACCCGATGTGGAAATTTTGCATTTTGTTTCTTTTTTTTGTTCTCTCAGGCTGAGTTGAGAGAGCTGGAATCTGAGGGAACAGCAAGCCCATTGGTTCCCGAAAAGAAACGTAAAGCCTCGGTGCCTCTTGATATTTACGGTGGGTATCGAATAACCCTGTGTTTGCAATAAAAAGTTGAGAGACCTTGATTTCGAACAAGCACTTTACCCGGTCAGTCTAAGAAGTGTGTTGAGGCGGATTTTGTTCACTCTTCTCATCATGTGAATCTGTCAGTGTTGGTCACACTCGTTACATGACATTTATTTGTCACTTTCATGATGACATCAGCACCACCGCTACTGTAAATATCACACCAACCACCGAACTTCCACCGCCATCACCTGATTTCCATCACCATCATTATCCAATCTTTGATGCCGTCATCATCACACTCTCAATTTCCGTCCTCTTTGCATTTTGCGTAGATGAGAAAGGAGAGGTGAACCTCCTTGCCATCAAGAAGAAGAGGATGGAGAACCTGCGTAGCAGCAAGAAGGAAACGAGCGACAAGAGCACCCAGTGCGATGATGAACTCCAAGATCTCGTCACCAAGAACAGAACTAAGGAGGAGGCAGAGTTGAAGGTGAGAAGCAGCAAAGAGAAATCTTTGAAGACTCTTTCGTTAGCCCTGTGTTCCTTGAAAGAACAGTCCTCATCTGCGACTGAGGCACACTTCAAGAAGCTGGCGAGTACAGAGCACAAGAAGAAAGTTGGTCCTCCGGCCAGCCAATAGACAAATCCAATATGACGCCCTAACTGCAGTGGCATCACACTCACACGCACATTCTTCAGCTTGACGCGCGCGTGCGTTTGGCAAATCACGACACCCTGTTGGTCGAAGAGGCATTTAACGCACGCGTACCGCCTGTCCACGAGCATTGTGCCACTGCAGTGATGGCTTCCAATTCTGTTGGTAGCATTACACTCTATGTTATGTGGTGTCTATCACTACTGAATGGTTTCTTGCTGTTGCCTAGGAAAGGCTTCGTCTGAAACATGTGGCTCTCGCTTGAAATGACATACAGCTCAGTGGGAAGCAGATCCAGCCACAAGCGTAGACCCTTGTGAAATTTCAAGCCGCATTATGAACAAGGCATTCATTTTTGCTTAGCACCAATGCCTGTGCCATAGAATCAGTCCTTTCGATATTTGACGAGGTGAATGAATGTTGTCAAGATCTGTGACAACTCAGGCCTGGAGAGCAAAAGCCATTGAACCGCAACAAAGCAGAGCAGTGTCGGTGACTATTAAACGACTAGAATCGCTGTAAGAAAATATCAGGTGTAAGAGTTTTGAGTGTGCTTTGAATTTTCAGAAAGAGATAGCTGAGATGGCATCGACGCTGGACAGCAAGCTAGGCTTCCTTGGGATCTCCAGGAAAGACCTGACCAAATTCCACATCATGCTCATTGAAAAAGAGGTCAGTTAATGATAAGCATGGCTTGTTGTATTGGGAGAGGATTCCCAAAGTGGGCCATTTTAGTTTATGGGAAATGAAAGCAAGCTGGTGGTCTGAGCTACAGTGTTATGAAGTAGGCAGTCATGCCCTTTTACTTATTTGGAGGATACTTTTCTGTGTTTAGCGGGCTCCCAGTTGATTCACCTGTTCCATTGTGTCTGAATCAATTAGATAATTGATCGGTTTGTTGTCTTCCTCAACTCTCACTGCAACAGATGCGGGTCCAGGATTGGAGAGAAGGCTCACTGGAATCCAAAAACCTCCTCCGCCACCTGAAATCGGCTGATTGGGAGTTCCAGCGCTATGAAATGGAAGCCGCGCCCCCGGGCTGGTCTTGTAACTGGGACAGGTACGATGCCATAAACTCCTCCCACTTTTTCCAAAAACCGAAAACCCTCCAAAATGTTCGCACAACTGAAAAACTGTGCCAGCCCTCTGGACATGGCCGGGGGGTCCTCCGTTTGGTTGAACCCCCCACTGCAAACTGGATTTGTTTTTGGAAATTTGTTGGATGTCTGTGTGTTCTGTGAATGGTGATGAGTCTTGCCAACAGAGGCGTACCTGACCAGTGTGGCCACCCACCCAGACTTCTTCCTGTGTGCGATGTGGAAATGAAAGGATACCAGATCCAAACTCAAAGCAGCCATCGGAGTCCCGTTAAACTTGTCCTTTAAATTCTAACTCGCTCACTGAGCACTATTCTCAACGTCTCAAGAGCAAGACGATCATTTGACTGTTGAAAGAAATGCAGCATTACTTCTAAAGATAGCCCACCCTACTTCCTTGTTTTATTCAATTCACCCTCAATATTTGTGTCCTTCCGTTGCTGTTCATTTCTCAATGTGGATCTGTCTGTTTTGTTGTTTGATTCTCTGTGTATCTTGTCGTTTGGCGTTTATTTTCTCCACGTCTGAATGTTCTAAATGCTGTCTTTATGTCATGTTTTTGTGTTTTCATTCTGCCAACTCTATCTCTTGATGTGTCACTGTTTTTCCACTTTGTGTGAGGGTGTGAAACAGTTTTGCCCAAAAGATTTGTGGATCAAAACCTGCTCGTGGTATCAGCAATGCATGCCAAGACATTTTTTCTTTTGGAAAACGCACCTGTCAAACTTCTCAGTTACTTGTAAGATTCCAGTGAGAGATAGATCTAACAAAGGAAGTAGGGATGGGAATCATGATTTTTTTTGCTGCATGAAAAGTTAAAGGGGGGAAAAAAAGGAAACGAAAAGAAAAAATGCACTGGTTCAAACTGTAAGTAAAGTCTGCCCCTCCATCTCGAATGAGAAACGTCGACGGAACAACAAATTGACAGGCGATGATGTTGGAAGCAGAAACTTGGAACCTACAAGGTGCTGACGTGGAACGCCAAGTGGATTCGGTAGCGGTCAGTGACAAAATCTTTCCAATTTTGTTTCCTTAACATTGATATTTTTGTTGTCCATCTGGTTCTTATCAATGGATGTAAAGAACAGTCGGTTTTTACAAAATAATGTCACCATTTTATGGAATTATGTTCATAATTGGTATCATTTTCTTCAGTGTTTGATGTCAGATCGTAGTATTGGATAAAGATGTTAGGCTCTTCAAGTAGAGAGCTGAATTGTGATGACTGGAATAAAATATGGCTTGTTTTGTGAAAGTGGATTTTTAAAAGATGAAATCACCACTGGCTTGTTTTTGGTCAGTGGTGGCTTTTGTTTACTTCTGGGGTTAATATCCACTGAATTGAAGATGTTACAGAACTCTACCTGTTTCTTTTTCTTCTTTGTTTTTTCATAGTCCAGTGGCCACCTTTTTTTAAATTAATGACTGCTGTGCTGATTAACTAGATAGATGTATACAGTTATATGTGAACAGAACATCAAGCAGTCTACCTGACTTGATGTTCCAAACTTGCTGGTGTTTTCCTGATACATGTATTGGTTGGAACTTGCCGGTGTTTTCCTGATACATGTATTGGTTAACGTGAATACCTGTTTTGAGTTACTGGATGTTTAAAATATTGCAAAGCCTGGTCATTAAGTTTGATTCGTTTTTCACAAGGTGCAAGCTAAGTAGTGTTGACCATCTACCAGCCAGCGTCAGATTATGTTCTTTTCAGTTGGCACAGAGTATATTTGGCACATCGGTGTGCTCCGTAAAAATTGGTTACCAATGAAAATCCTACTATGAATACGGTATGGTTGGTAGTCGGCTCATTGCGCTTAGCTGTGAAGACAACAGGGTAACAGGACTTGAAATAAGTCAGTGTGATGCCCGTCATTTTTTTATCATGCATCTCTTTTTTCTCTCCCATCAGGTTTTATGAGAGAAACTGAGTTAAAATCTTTCCTTTTTTATCACAACTGTTGACACGTGCCGACTTCTCTTTCCCCGGTGTTTTCCGATCTCAGAGAGCACAAGCAGTACTACTACACCTGCATTCAGACGGGCGTGTCGCAGTGGGACTACCCTGTGGAGGCGGGGGTTCCAGAGGACGGAAAAGAGGGGGCGGCCAAACCCACAGCGGCCGAGACGGAGTCCCGGTCACTCTTCAACCAAGCCTCGTTGATGGAAGGAATGGAACACGGGAAGTATATTCAGTCTGCGACACCAGTGGTCCCCCCAGTACATGACGTTACGCCAGCCCCAGGTAAATTAATTTCACATTCTAGGTATGAATACATTTACTGTGTTAGATGACAGGCTTGGCCTTAAGTAACTGATGACAACATGATTGTTTTCTTATTCAAACTGTCATTTTCTATAATCAAAAAAGGTTGGAGGGTCTGACGTTTCAATCCTAGTACAATCTCTCTCAAAGACATATAACCGTTATCATTATTTTGACACTTGTCCACAGCGTACAACACTTTTCAAGCCACTACCTCCAACACAGAACCACCGGTTGTGGACTACACAAAATATTCTGCCCAATACGTAGTACCTGCCCCACCCCTCCCTGCCACTCCAGCTCCACCCCTCCCTGAACCCACACCCCCACCTTCCCTATCGTCAAAGCCCAACCCCCCTCTCCCATCCAGCAAGGTCAAACCCCCTCCTCCTCCCCCAGGCACAGAGTTATTCCCACCCCTTCCGGACTCCCCTCCCCCACCACTTCCATCAGGGTCAGGCCCTGAGTTACCGCCCCTCCCCTCCAGCCCACCCCCTCCACCCCCACCCCCAGAGGACGACGAGGGAGGTGCCTGCGATAGCACACGTGCCATGACGCCCCCACCCCTCCCCATGCCCCACCTGGGGTCCGAGATGCTAACGGGCATGCCCAGTGACCTCCCAACCTCGACGACAGTGTCCTCAGCGGGCACGGCTATCATCGGCAAACCGCAGGTGCTTTATTCCGCCCCTTCCTCTACCATCAGCAGTGGTCCAAGTGTTGCTGCAGACCCTGGTTATACAGCTCCAGTCCCATACACTGTACAGTCGGCTGTCTCCGCTGCCCCACTACCGGGATCGTCAACAAGTGTGCAACCCGTAGCAAAGACAAAAAAGAAGAAAGAGAAGGTATGCAGCAGGAACATATCTGAAACTTCTGAAGTTTTTGAGCTGAAGCCAACAGCAGTTGAGAACCAGTCCCAATCAACGTGGATCACATGACTTTTTGCTGGCAACTGCTAGCAACTCTTCAGCAAGGACAATTCTTGAGCAGATGAGATCGTGGAACACACCTAAAACACAATGACGTCACGCTGACACGTCCACTTCCCTCTAGGGCGTTGATGGATGGTGTTAAAAGTGGACGTGTGAAGAATGCATGACATCATTATGTTAAAGGTCTGTCCTAAAGAACTTCTTTGAGTAAAGGACTGAAAAGCAAGCTCAGGCTTAGAGCTGACCTAGGAAAACAGGAATATTGATTCCATCGCCTCATTTTATTTTGCTCTTTCAGACAAAGACAAAGTCAACCAGCAAGAAGAACAAGCTCCCGCTGTCGCTGGTCCAGAAGTGGCAGCAGATCAAGGAGGAGGTGGAACGGGAGGAGATTGCCGATGAAGAGGAGGAAGAGGAAGATGAGGACCCCACCGTGGCGACCCAAAAGAGAATTGAGCAGTGGAAGAAGGAACAGATGGCTACGTAAGTGAACCAGCAATGTTGTAGCCAAGTACTCCACGAGTACTTCACAAACATTGTCCACTAATCAACACAAGAACTGAGAACTAAGAGGCTGAATGATAAAGGAATCAATTTTGTTTTAGTCTTACACGTGTAGCTCATGGCTCATGGTGAGACTGGAGTGCTTCTGAAGTCCTTGGTAACATGTCAAGTACTTGCCAAGTACTTGACTTCAGTACTGGTAAAGGCATGCATTAGGTTGCTCGGGGAACTTTTTCAAACTCATACAACCCCACCTTTAATGGGATCATACAGTGTTCTCCAAGTTCTAAATTTTAAACCTGGTGGGACTGATATAACAGGTATCAATGGGGAGGCGTAGTAGAGGGTATTGAATGTCCTAGCAAGTCACAGGCAGCTGGCGGCAGTTCTAGACATTCATGGACTGCGACGTCGGGTAGCTAGATTTTAAAGTTTGGCAGCTACTGATGGGATAGGAGACAAGCAAAACTTGGTGGGTCAGCAAGCTACTTCTATAGTTTGGTGATCTTGGATCATGGTAACGCAGGAAGGGATTGGGTGGTGGAGGAATGGACATCAGGCTCTGTCATACTTGAAGCACCTGCTGTAGGTTTTGGGTCTTGGAATACTAGATAAAAATTGCTGAGGAAAGATTTCAGAAATTTTTGTATTTCTGCCATTTTGGGAATGCAGTGACTCAGAAGAGTATTGAGCAGAAGAGAGGAGTGTGCTGTGTAAATGAGATATTCATATGATGCAAGATATGAGGCGGAGAGACCTCCCCGCCTTTGTGTTGGTCATTGTTTGCTCGTGATCTCAGGAATTCTTTACAGAATTCTAGGGGGGGGATGTGTTAGGTAACAATAGTCCAGAGTGTGTATAGGGATTAGAGTGGGGGGTACCCATCGGCCCCATATCGTGCACGGTATCGAGATATTGGTCAGAGTAGTCAGCACGTGTAACAAGACCTCCAAATATGTTCTGAGTAACTGTTCTATTTTCAGAAGTTTCTACTTCTTTTTCCCCCTTTGCAGTGGTCTTTCGACAAAGAATGCCAACTTCGAGATGATCCAGGGCGACTGGAGGGAACGTCTGAAGAAGAAATCCAGCCAGAACACTTAATGGGTAGACTTTATGTCAATTATGTTTTGTTGTAATTAATAATTTTTTTTCTAATAATCTGGAAACCTTGTTAAGAGAAGGCGCGGAAATCGTTTCACTCTACAAATTGGCTATTAGCTTCCTGACATAAATGCCTGTACATTGAAAGTAGGTTTGATAGGCTTCTTAGGCTTCGGATGAGTTAGTTTTATTCATCATTGCCGGCAGCTGCAGCCATATTATAGCACTTGCTGTCACATCAAGAAAAGAGTTTTACTGCAGTTGCTCTTTCACAGGTGTTTTCTACTGCTCTGTGTCATATTGGCATATTTGTTACCAACTTCTACAGGAGAAAGAAATCAAAACACAGGCGTAGACACATTGGGTACAGGCTATACTAGCCATATGTACTGATAGCTTGAGGGGAGTACTCCTGTATCCGCTCTGAGCGGAACAAAAGAGGGCGTGCGTTTTTGGTACTCGCCGCATAGACGCACCATGAGGTGCGGAAGTATATGCGCGTTTGACGTGGAGCACGCTAAGTACGTGTAACTAATTTACTTCGGTATGTATGGTCTTTGTGTTCACACTGAACGCGTGCAAGAATCCGCTTGTAACCACCTGTCTTTCCTTCGCCAATTGGGGGTACACTGCAGCTCGGGGCGGGTATTGGCATCCACCTCTCCAAAATGACAATGCCATTACTTTGTTTTTTTGTACATACGTGATTGTTATTGCGCAGTCATGTTCAGTCTACTGTGTTTTATTATTTCACTGTAACCAAAAAATACAAATTTAACAAGCAATTGAATGGGTCCCTTTCAAGGCCGTACTCCAAAGAAGTTGTCAAAGGCATTGTCGTCACATTTTGTTACCAAAACACTGATCGGAAGCTTGCTTGTAGATATCTGTTCTTCAAAGTACTTTTTTCAATATTATCGCAAATTTTGCATTTTACAGGTAGGTTAAAATGTAGTGGTAAAATGTATGACGCTTCAGTGTCAGTTTCACGTTGAGGTGATGTACAATAAATTGTGTAAGAATCTTGACGAGAAGATGGAAGAATTGCGGGTTCTTGCTTGTGGTGAAACAGGTGTATGTCTGATCATGGTTTAAGTGATCCAAACTCCTAATCACAACTTCTGGAAATAAGGCTACCACTCTGCTTCGGTCTTAGCTGCATTGCCACTAAAAGCTGCACTGATCATGTGCTGTGCTAGGACCCGTGTAAAAAAAAATTCCTGGAAATATGCATCCGTGGCCCTATAAAGTTGTTTCTCTGCCCAAACAGATATTGAGACCTTCCACTATGCACGCCTTTTAGGGGAGGGGTCGTTGAAATATGTCGCTGTGTAGCTTACGCCCTATAAACCCAACCCCCAATCCCCTTTTCTTTATTCCCATCTACCCGCTGTATCCGTGTCAGTCGTACTTTTGCCCCATCCACAAAATGTGGCCACGCTGTGACTAATTTTTGCCTGTTACACTGTCGAACAACCTCAACGCGTGGCAAAGTGCACGATACTACATCCTTCGCTAATACAGAGTTGTGTGCCGATTCTGTAGATTTGAGCAGCCATCACTGGACGTAGCTGGCAGGGAAGTGACCCCTGGCACCTGCCTTTCTACCGTAGGCCCAGCCGTTGCTCAGGTGGTTGCCGATCTGTACCAGATACTCACCTGGTGTGCGACAAAATGGCATGGAGTGAATAAACAACGTTTCTGAATGTACCTGTTACGTGCGCTTCAGACAGCAATGCGCGCCTTAACAGGGTATCAAATGCTACACTGCTTGCTTGCTCAGTCACATTTTCTGCTAAGAGCAAAATTGCTTCTCATGAAAGATGTTGAAAGAGCACACTAAAAATGGAGCTCAACCTGGCTTGTGCTTGAAGAATTGAGGGTCGGTACAGTCTCCTTTCAGACTATTAATTTTCAGAACAAGAAGTGAAGAAGTTTTAAGTTCAACATTAACAGTGCTCACTTTGTTTCAGCGCCATCTCGTCCCTGGTCGCAGGCTTGAAGTCATAGAGCACCCTCACCAATCGCTCTCCCTCCTTCGGCTGCAACGCCTGTCTGGCTTGTTCCAACGCAGCTGCCCTCTCAGCTTCTCCATTCCACCTCTCGATATAGGTCCGGGCTGTGGTCTCTGTCGGGGCCTGCTCTGGAGCTTGCTGTGGGGTGTGGGTGGCTGTCGGTGAATGTAGTTCTTGCTGGTGGGTAGAGGTCTGTTGTGCTGTGACTTGCCTGGGCATCTGTTGAGCTGTCTGAGTGTGTATCTGGTCTGGTTTGGGCCCTGGAATCTGAGTTTCTGTATGGGAAGATGCCAATCCTGGATGGCTCGCCTGTGATTGACCCAGCTTGTGCTTTTCGAAATAAGCATCTGTGGAAGAATGTATTGCAAAGTGTATTGCTTTTTATGGTTGCGAGGTGACCTCTTATGGAGTTCCAAGGCAACTTGCCCCAGATCAAGACACTTAACCGCCACTCCTCTCGGCTTCATTTTACAAATACATGTATCATAGTTCGAGGGGAGCCTAGCAAATGAGTGCATTTTCCTGATGGTGTAGATCGGTATCACACGGAGTTGATAAAATTAAAAAATGAATCTGTTCCCAAATGATTGTCCTTTTGGGGGAATGATTTTAAGTTACCTTCTGGCGAAGATGTTTCTTGCCCAGCAACTGAACTTTCCTCACTCCAGTTTTCATGGTAACCACCAGCCCACTCTTTCACTGTCGATGATGGGTGGTTGTCTTGGATGTAAGCCTCCTGACTCTCGGACGTGCCAATTGTATCGTAAATGCTGATTGATGGGCCTCGTTCATGGTGATGACCAGATGGCCTATCAAGATCATGTTGCTTAGACCTCTCCTCTGTGTGGTGATGCTGATAGCTAGGGTCTGCTTGATGATCCATGTGCTCACGAAACCTATCAATTGGCCTCTGACCCTTCTGATAATGATCTCTTCGGTCATTGTGGTGGTCATGTGAAGTCCACTGGCTCAGTACTTTGTCATGATTCTTGTCATAGTGATGCGTGTGATGTCCCCTGTGTCTTGCCTTCGCCGTCTCATCCCACCTGCTGCCACCATCTCTCCCTCCAAGCCCCTGCCAGCGCTCGCTCAACCACCTCTCACTGAGATCCTCGTTCTGTGAGTAGCGGAGCTCTGGAGGTCGATGCTGATGACCCGGCTGGTCCCACTGGTCTGGGGGGTGCCTCTGCCCTGAAAAGTGCTGAACCTCGTGTTGATGGGAGCGGTAGGGCCTGTTGAAATATCGATGAGTGTGGCCCTCTCGATGGGCGTGGTGACGGAAAGCATCCACTTCAGAATCAAAGTCATCCGTTGTAAACCTGTTAAAACACATTGACATATCAAAGGATAATGCCTTAACTATTCTGAATTTAACAGCCAACTATTCTAACTCTACAATTGTGCCCCCTTCAAATCACTGTTCATTCCTCGAGTAGGTTTCTTACTCGTCGGTCATTTCGTCTGTCACAGCGAACGCAGCGCCTTGCTGACGAGTGTGATGACGATGGGGGTAGTGCTCCACATCCGCCTGATAGGCTCTGGGATCCATTTCCTGGAAAGGAAAGAGGGTTTTGGTCGTCAGCTCTTCTGGAAACTTGACCTTGTATTCTTTTTTTTTTTGTTAAGTGACTGTGCATGACCCCCTCCTTCCACTGGTTTTAATATAAAAATGGTATTTTGTTGGAAAATACGCTCCTCTTAAACCTCAAATGCCATATTCAAATATTTTCCTGGGCATTCACACTTATAGAAATGGAAACATAGATATCAATGTACGTGTCCTCGTCTTAAAACCCCAGAATTTGAAATCGTTCATTGGACTGACTGTTGCCCTGCAAACTGACCTCGTATTTGGGCCAGCTAGCTTTGCTTCCTGTGCCGTATTTGCGCCCCCATTCCTCCACGTCTGCAGCTGGCTCTGCCCGTCGCACCTGACTGAGGATACGCTGGTACACTTGGCTTATCCTTGAAAAGATGCAGATAGTTTAAACGAAAAAGGAATTTACGCTGCGTTTCCCAGTTTGGAAACTTACTTCAGGGTGTCGTTCTTGGTCTCTTTGTAGCTTCGTGGGACCAAATGAAAGGCGGAAAACAGACATACGACAGGTGCAGTGCACTGTTGAACGCTTGACAACAGCAGACAATAATTTTTGTGGTAGAGAAGAACCGTGTTACACTCAAGGGAACGCGGCAGTGTATTCTCCAAGGCATTCTGGTAAAAAGGTCAAGTCCCCGCCACATTCCACCATGTACGTCCATGCTCGAACAGTCCATCCGTGACATCATTACACTCGGGCAGCCTCCAGAGACCCGCTCGCCAGCTGGGGTAGGGGTGGCTGACACCAGATCAGGCACAAAGATCACGTGATGGCTAAACGAACGCTCTCGTGTAAGTTTGACTTACCCTTGTAAGCTAATCAAGCGAACCCATTGACTATTGTGTGCGTGGACGCGCAATAATTGCGCACAATGCGCAGTGTTGGCAAAAGGTCAAACAAGTGGCGGTGGGGAAGCCTTGTATGTATTGTCACGCTACCCTGTAGCAAGGAGGGTAGCGGTCCCATAGAAATTTGAACTGCGGACTTATCGACAGCTGTTGGATTCCCGCCCCTTCCATCTTCCATTTTTATCAAACCCAAAAAGGATCCCGAAACAGCTCGTGTTTGTCTATCGACAAACACAACGTCCGTCTCTTTGAAAGTTTGTTTTTATATATAACTCTATTAGTTATCTCATTCGGCACCCCTCTCCAAAACAAACAGCAACAGATGAGCACACATTATCGAGAACCTACAGTTTTCCGTCATACAATTTAATTCATTGACCTACCCAGTCCTGGAGTGAGTGTTGAGGTCCCTGGCAAAGAGCTGCAGCTGCGATTGGATGAACTCCAGTCGCTCTCTCTCGAATCCTTGCCATCGGTTAAATACTGACGTCATACTCTATAAATATCAAAGTGATACGGTTTAGGTTCATGTTCAGTGTCAGTGAGAAGCAATCGGAACAAAGTGATCCATGGGTTGGATTCGACTTGATATATGAGCGAGTGTATAAATATACTCTGTAAACCCTGTAAAGCAAAAAAGACGCATTTGGAAGGTGGTTTTTGCATGAGGACGAATTATGTCTTGTTCGAGATGAGTGACAAACACAAACCTCGCGTGCGTACCTCTACGTATCTTTCTTTGGCTGTTACATTGCAGACCATCACCCTCCGGAGATACACCTGCTTCAGTCGTTCTCTTTCCAGTGCCAACCTGTCTGCCTTCTCCCGGAGTTTCCAGCTTGCTTCAGGGCTGACGGTCGGATTGGAGGCCTCCTCGTCAGCGAAGCGCCGGGCTTTGTAAGCCGCAAAGCTTGCGTTGTAATAAGCCTACGGAATTCAGAACTTTTGGTACTCAAGCAGAAACTTTGACGAAAGAAATGGACGTATGATATTCTAAAACACTCCAGACAATAACCACAGTAGTTAGCATCACCGAAAAAGTTTAGCAGCATTGACAATTATCTATGATGAACGCACTGACAACAGACAAGAAGGCTTACACATAGGCCTATTTGCATTTTAACTTTGTTTAAATGCAATCCAGGGGTATGATCGAGTGCGTTATGAAAAAAAGTCTGAAAGGGGTTAATTTTCTTTTGTCTGTAGGCTTCAATTATGTTTCCGCCGGACGGGGTTATAATGTGATACCCGTTATCGACTGTCTTATAATAATACGCTATACAAGGCTTCGGTGCCGACAGCTCGATGTACTGTACGATGTACATGTACTTGCTTATCCGTGGCCGATATGCTGAGTCAACATTTTTACAGCTGCTATCAAAAAGTCATACATGCATATGACAGTCCACTTTCCCTCACTTTTCAAGGAGCATCGGTGGTTCAGTGGTAGAATTCTCGCCTGCCACGCGGGAGGCCCGGGTTCGATTCCCGGCCGATGCAAATTGTTTTCTTCCTTTTAAAAATCTCATAAGTCTAAAAAGCCAAATCTATTTTAATTAAATGAGAGAAAGGCGATGTTTTTTTGTTCTATATTCATTTGCCCTCCTTTCCAAAGTGTGCAAAAAGCCCCCGAAATGTAGCCATTCCCCCAGAAAAGGCAATGAAATACTACTTTAAAAAATCCCAACATTTTGCCCTGCCCCCACATTGAAACAGGTTTCCCTCTAAAATTGGTTCTGGATCCGTCCTCAGCATTTTCGTATTTTTTAAGATCAAATTTTAAGGGCTGAATAAAATCACAAAATTGAAATCAATTTTCGTATTGTATTAAATCAAAATTTTAGGGTCCTTCTTTTTTCCTTTACAGGAAAGGACGTTCCGCCTGCTCTTTTATTAAAAGCGAATCCACGATAATAAAAATTCTACTATAAAAACGACGCTTATAACTTATATCGACAGATTCCGTAGTGTAGCCGTTATCATGTTCGCCTCACACGCGAATGTTCGAATCTGGGCGGAATCAAAGTTTTTGTTTGTTTTCTGTCATCTGATGAGGAGTACTGCATGAAGCAGAAATGTTAGAGGCTTTCTTTCAATTTTACTTAATAAAAAAATTAAAATCAAATCCCAGACAGGAAAGAAAGTAAATCTGGGCTGAACTTTTTTCTCTTCAGCACAAAGACAAAGGGTGATTATGTTGTTTTGTTTTTACTTGTTCTAATAAAAAAAGGAAAACAACGTAGATAAGAAACAAACAGGCATCGGTGGTTCAGTGGTAGAATTCTCGCCTGCCACGCGGGAGGCCCGGGTTCGATTCCCGGCCGATGCAAATTATTTTCTTCCTGTTCAAAATAATGGAAGTAAACAAAAACGATGTTTTGAGGTCTATATCAGTTTACCATCCCTCCAAAAGCCCTTGATATGTAGCCATTCCTCTCGGAAAGGCAAACAAATACTGCATGAAAAATTCCCAACATTTTTCCCTTCCCCTGAATTTAAAGACATATCTTTGAAAATTTGGTTCTTGATCCGTCTTCAACTTTTTTCGAAATTACAATTTTTTAGACTCAGCACTGAGAAAACTTGCAGGCCGCTGATTTCATAAAAACCACAATAGGTGAAACAGCAAGTAGGTTCAACCAGTACTGTAGCTGTTATCACGTGCGCCCAACATGCGCACGGTTCCCGGTTCGAACCCGGGCGAAATCAAATTTTTCAAGATTGGTTTTTGTTTTGAGAGCTATATACCATCACAGATTTTAAACATTTTCCTCAATCTTTCTCTTATCATGCTTATGTAACTAAGCAAAAGCTTGCCCCGAATCACAACGTATAGCAACAGTGGTTTTGGTATGGAGAATTCAAGTTGTTATGCTCACGTGAATTTAAAGAACTCAGTGTGCCAAATTTTGGTCAAACTTAATTCGCACAAGACTTATTGCATTTACAAGAAATTACACTTAACCTTTCTTCATAAAAAAAAATTCATTATCATAAAAGTTCTATTATAAAGAGGATGCAGATGTACATCAACGGATTCCGTAGTGTAGTGGTTATCACGTTCGCCTTACACGCGAAAAGTCCTCGGTTCGAACCCGGGCGGAGTCAGTCTTTTTGTCTTTTCATTCATCTGGGTTTTTGGTTTCGCATAAATGCATTTAACGAAATTTTTAAGGGTCTTCCTTTTACTTTTACTGGGAAAGACAGCTCGGCCTATTCCTAAAAAAAAAAAAAATGTTTATATTAGCGCAATCCCGGAAGACAAAGAAAGTGAATGTGGGCAAAATCACGTATTTCTCTTCAGCACAAAGAAAAAGGGAGAATATGTTGTTTTGTTTTACTCAAAATTCAATGAAATAGTACACATGAAAACATTCTCAATATTTTGCCCAACACCCAAATTAATACAAGTTTCTCTGAAAACTTGGTTCTGGATCCGGTATCCGTCCTCAACTTTTTTCGAAATTACTGTTTTCTATACTCAGCATTGAGAAAACTTGCAGGCCGCTGATTTCATAAAAACACAAAAGATGAAACAGCAGGTAGGTTGATTCTGTAGTGTAGTGGTTATCACGTGCGCCTCACACGCGCAAGGTCCCCGGTTCAAACCCGGGCAGAATCATGTTTTTTAAAGACTGATTTTAGAGGACTCTATATAATCACAGAATTTTAAATATTTTCCCCATTTGCGTTTAATCAAAATCTTAGGGTCTTTTTTTTTTTGGTTTTACAGCAAAGGAGTACATTTTCTTCATAAAACCAAGTCAATTAATAGAAATTCTATTATGAATAAACATTATGCAGATTCCACAGACATCTGCGGATTCTGTAGTGTAGCGGTTATCACATTCGCTTCACACGCGAAAGGTCCCCGGTTCGAACCCGGGCGGAATCAAATTTTTAAAGATTGATTTGTGAGGGTTATACATAATCACAAAATTTGAAAAATTTTCCTCATTTCCAATTTATCGAAATCGTATGGGCTTCCTTCATAGGAAAGGACACTTGACCTTTCTTCGTAAAAAAATTCATTATAATAGAAATTGTACTGAAATATTATGTCGGTCTACATCGACGGACGCGTGGTCTAGCGGTTATCACGTTCGCCTCACACCCGAAAGGTCGACGGTTTGAATCTGTGTGTAATTAACTTTTCAAAGATTGATTTTTGAGGGCTATGCATAATTACAGAATTTAAAATATTTGCCCTATTTACAATTTATCGAAATCTTGAGGGCTTCCATTTTCCTTCTAGAAAGGACAATCTACCTTTTCTTCATAATATCTTTCCCTTCAGCACAAAGAAACAGGGCGAATTATAAGTTGTTTTGTGTAACTCGCTCTTATCCAGAAAAAGAGGAAAAAACGGAGGAAAAAAGATAAACAGTGGCAGAATTCTTGCTTACAGTTTTCTGCACTGAGCACTGAGAAAACTTGCAGGCCGCTGATTTCAAAGAAACTCAACAGGTAAAATATTAAGCATGTTGGTTCCGTAGTGTAGTGGTTATCACGTGCGCCTAACACGCGCAAGGTCCCCGGTTCGAACCCGGGCGGAATCAAATTATTTTTTCAAGACTGATTTTTGAGGGCTCGACATAGTCACAGAATTTTAAGCATTTTCTCATTTGCATTTAATCGAAATATTAGCGGCTTCCCTTCCTTTACAAGAAAGGACACTTGACCTTTCGTCTTGAAAAATTCATTACAATAAAATTTCTATTATAAAGAGTAAGATGGGGGGAAAGGTCCAGGGTTCGAACCCAGGCAGAATCAGCATTTTGTCTTTTTCCTCATCTTGTTTGTAGCTCTGCGTCGATGCATTTAACGAAAATTTTAGAGTCTTTCTTTTACTTTTATTGAAAAAGAAAGCTCGACTTTTCCTAATGAATATAAAAAATTATGAAAAATAATGAAATCTCAGAAGAGAAGGTAAGTGAATCTGGGCGAAATCACTTTTTTCTCTTCAGCACAAAGACAAAGGGCGAATACGTTGTTTTGTTTTACTCGTTTTAATAAAAAAAAAGGAAACCAGAGATGACGAGGCAAGCATTGATAGGCATCGGTAGTTCAGTGGTAGAATTCACGCCCGCCACTCGTGAGGCCCGTGTTCGATTCCCGGCGCGGCCGATGCAAGTTATATTTAAATACAAATGTATACCCCCGGGAGCTCCCGACTTGCTGGCACCATTTTATTTTGGATGTTAATTGAATAATCTGTGCACATCGACATATGTATCTACAAATACGGGCTTAGAATGTTAAAACACGCTCGTGTCGTCCTGTTCGACCAAAATGATCAACTCTTTTACTTTTAATTAATTGGAAGACTGCACCGACTAACTTCTGAGGTACATCAGTTCATGTCTTCCGGGTCTGCCCCAGCCGCCCAGATCCAGTGAGGCGGTAATCTGTTTTTTGGGTCGAGATACCTATTGTTGGTGAAAAATGATCGGCAT